ATAAATCTGAATTTCTGAAGTAAGTAAGCAACCGCGTAGGCCATGATAGCTTCCGCTTGTTTGATCCGTAGTAAACTCTGGATTTTGCAAATCCGCACGAGCAACACTTTGATCATTCCTCGCCTTTGACCAGTACGAGATTTGGGCTTAATTTTCTAGCGTAGTTTTGCAGAGTACGTGCAAGAACATGGACTACAAGTGCCACTATTACGAACGCTAGCTTCACCCAACTACAACTTGACCAACAAGAAAGATGATGGCACGGAATTACGAGCTGATGACCTGCGTCATTTGCTTTGTGAAGGTGAGGACTACTAAACGTATAGGCTTACCATTACATGATAGAAGTACGGCCATGAAGTACTTTACTTGTGTTGTACAGCGTTCGGTAATTGACATAGAGCGATTAGATCGTTAGTCGCGAGCAATGAAAGCTGTCTCTCACCCCTCCAAGGCCATCCACCGTTACTCCATATCCCGGAGGCTGAGAGGGCAGAGCTGCGACCTTAATTAGAACGTGAAGGCAACTACGCTTGTGGTGGGACATTGCCGTTTTCGGACAATTATGAGTCATGACTTTATCCAGTACAGAATGACAGTCGTCTAGGACGAAGGGGGGGGGGGGAGAATGAAAAAGTATCTCACACTATGCTCAAATGAAGCGCAGCTACACCCTCCCCATTGCCAGCATATGAGTTACCAATAGTTGAAGCGGTTCGAATCTCACGAGTTTTTTCTACAATAACGAAACACAGTCCGGCGAGGGGGAGGGGCATTTGCACTGTCGCTGCTGTTTACGTTTTCAAAGGAGTTCACAGTCTCACTGTGGTGAAACTGTGAACTCCTGTGAAGCTGGAGCAAGCTCGTCGAGTAATAGTAAAACCTGTCAACCCCTGTAGCTCATGAAATAGCTCTCTATATATAGCTCGACACGTCAGCGGGAAGTGTCAAAAGTGCAAAATGCCCCGGAAATGAAATGCAATCGCCAAAGTGTCCCTCATCCATTTTTGTTTCCCTCTTTGGAATCCTTGATTTGCCCAACAGCTGGTCACCACAAGTCACTCTGTCAGCCCTGTAGAGTGAGTTGGGGTTGCGTATTAGGTTGATTGGAAAATCCTGCTTCAAATCTGTAAACAGAACGTTCTAGAAAAAACCAAAGCGCATCCCAGATGTTTCAAACCCTCATTACACTTGAATGTTCCTTAAGGTTTCTGCAAACAGATGCTAGATGCTCATGCAACTTTGGTAATTTTCTACCAGGTAGGACCTGAATTCGTATGTCATAGAAAAAAGTATTTAAATGTTCTTCAGCTCTGACCACTGGATAGCGATGTAGCCGGGAGTGGTATTGGTATCTCACAGGTTAACAATCTTCCATAGCTCAAAGCTTCGGTACTCAAGGCGTTCTGTATTATGGGTTCTTGTGAGGGCCACTGTAGTCGACAGAGCTAACACCTGCGTTGCGTTCGCTTGCACTGCCACAGCCGAACGTAACCGATGATTGCGGAGAAGATGGTTAGTTGTCTTATGGTGCAGCCTAAGGATGTCGTGAACCACCAGGAGGTTCACGACATCCTTAGGCTGCACCATAAGACAACTAACCATCTTCTCCGCAATCATCGGTATCGGGGGAAAATTCCTCGCGCAGGATAACCTAAGAAATACGACAGTTTAACAAGGCGACCGCGTGTAGAGTCGTCCGTCGTGCCCTATTAAGTCGTGCCCACGCCGACGGCAGCTTGTACATGCATACAGTGAAGAAAAAGCGTGGTTGTACGATCTCACACTTGCTGCTATCAAAATATCAGCTGTTTCCCTTATCACCTCACTCTGATCGCTGGAATGGAGAGAGCTAGTAGAGGTGCTACTAGCTTGTAGATAGTACCAATTGGGGGTTGGTACGGGCCAGCGGGGTGCTCATGGACCCTTCAGTCTTCACCAGACCCCCCCCCCTGCTGTACCGTTTGAATGACTGTAGATAGTACCAATTGGGGGTTGGTACGGGCCAGCGGGTGCTCATGGACCCTTCAGTCTTCACCAGACCCCCCCCCCCAAAAAACCTTACCTTTTGAATGACTGTCGCAAAGCGTGCCTTTGAGTCCGCAACGTATCCTTACAAGGGAGGTCTTTCAGGTCGTGGCGCGCTTTTTGGAAATGGTTTGTTGCTTGTTGTAGGGGTCCATACAAGGATCACACAAAAATGGGTTTCATTTTTGCTATGCGTTTCTGGGTAGGTCAAAAACTGGGTGAAA